GAGAGAGAGAAAGAGAGAGAGAGAGAGAAAGAGAGATTGATTGATTGCTTCCTGCATGTGTCCCAACCAGGGATCAAAACAGGCAACTTGGGTACGTGCCCTGTCCAGAAATCAAGCTCCGCCACCTTTTGGTATATGGGAAGATGCTCCAATCAACGGAACCAGGCTGGGAGCCAGAGCTTTTGAGTCCTGAGTTCCAGAATCCTGGAGTGACCAGAAGCAAGTCCCATCTCTGAATCTTAAATTCTTCAGTCATTATTGGATTGTGTGTGTGTGTGTGTGTGTGTGTGTATTTAAGAGTAGAGCACAAACCCAATCAGAAAAGGAAGTGGTTTCTTAGGTACTAAACTTTTTTGTTTTTATTTTTAAATTTTAGATCCTGAACTTTCATATACAGATAAATATAGAATACATATGACACCTGTGTATCATCTACCCAGATTAAACAAATATTAACACTTGTCATATTTGCTTTAGACATCTAAAGTTCCCTCTTCCTCTCCAGTCTATTTTATTTCCCTTTCTAGATGTAACCACAATAATGAAATTGGTGTATATGCTTCACATGCCTATTTTTATTCTTTTATTACCTATGTATGTGCCTGTAAACACATAATATTGTTCTGTTTTAAAAGTTTTTATCCAAGCAGTATCTATCATATTGTATAAATTATTTTTTCTTAGAAACCCTTTTTATTATGTGTCTTTCAATAGTTTTTTATATGAAAAACAGCATGAACACATCCATTCACTTTATGGATACTGCTCTCAAACAAATGTGCAACTGCACTGCCTAGAAACATCTTTTAGACTCATGTTTATGCAGTTTGAAGCATGTATAATTTTTTGTCATTGTTTCTTTCCCCGCTCAACATTGTTTTTAATATTTATTAATACTGAAACATATTGATATAGATCGACTATTTTAATGACTATTTGATATACTACAGTTTATCCATTCCCCTACTAAGTTGTTTTACATTTTCCACAATGGCTGCAATAAATATCTTTGTACATGTTTTCTTATGCCCAAGTGTTTTTAAAAAGTGTACATCTAGGCCCTAGCTGGTTTGGCTCAGTGGATAGAGCATTGGCCTGCGGACTGAAGGGTCCTGGGTTCGATTCCAGTCAGGGGCACATGCCCAGGTTGCAGGTCCGATCCCCAGTAGGGGGCATGCAGGAGGCAGCCAATCAATGATTCTCTCTCATCATTGATGTTTCTATCTCTCATCTATCTTTCTCTCTCTCTCTTCCTCTATGAAATTAATAAAAATATATTTTAAAAAATAAATAAAAAGTGTACATCTAGACCACTGGGTCATAATATGTGTAGGTTTTCAACTTTGCTAGATATGACCAAACTGCTTTCCAATTTTATTATACTCTGCTCCCTCATGCCAAGCAGTGTGTAAAAGTACTCATTTCTCTGCGCTCTCACCAACCCTAGGCTTTTAAATTTTGCAATTTGATGAATGTAAAATAATATTGCATTATTTTAATTTGCTTTTCCCCATTTACTAATGTAGTTGAACATCTTTTTTAATTATTATTATTGATTTCAGAGATGAAGGAAGGAGAGGGAGAGATAGAAACATCAATGATGAGAGAGAATCATTGATCGGCTGCCTTCTGCATGCCCCCTACTGGGGATCAAGCCCACTTGATCCTTGACTGGATCAAACCTGGGACCCTTCAGTCCACAGGTCAACGCTCTATCCACTGAGCCAAACCAGCTAGGGCTAGTTGAACATCTTTTCATGTATTTATTGACTGTATGGTTTTCTATTCTATAAATTCCTATTCATATTCTTTGACCATTTCACCATGTCTCTTCTCTCCCTACCTCCCTCCCTCCTTACACACACACACACACACACACACACACACACACACACACACATTTTGGATTCTAATTTTTTGTTGGTAATTAAACTTAGCTATTTCAAAATTTATTCCCTGTACTTATTCACAAGAACTTCTTTAAAAACATTTGTCTCTTTTCTTTGAAAAAATCATATCTCAAAGTATCACTTCCACGTGACGGAATATTTAACTTTCACACCATCTCCACCCAAAGCTCATTTATCAATAACTGGAATTCACAGCACGTGTAACATGGAGGCCCTTAAAAATGTGAGGACATCATGTTTAGCCTAATCTAAAAACCCAGAGAGAAGCAGCACCGAAAGGAGAATGGGATCACACCGCTCCACTCTGAGGCTAAAGGTGACATGCCCAGCCTTGCTCAGATGGCCAGCTGTCTATAGAGCTTTTCTTCAGCCATTGCTGAGATTTATTTAAGGGGCAGGTGTTGAGGGAAGGCAGCAAGATGGAGCTAGAAGAGAAAAGGAGAGAGATAGAATGGAATAGAGAAGGAGAGGGTGGCAGAAAGAAGGGGGCATGCAAAGATATGAGTGAATATGGTAAGAGAAAGAGAGGAGAAATAGGAGAAGATGGAGAGAAAACAGATTTGAGAGTGCCCAAAAGAGAACAAAGAGTGTGAGCGGAAAAGAGTGACAGAATGAGAGACTGGAGAGTACCATAGTCATGGGAGAATTCACAGAAAGAAATGTGAACAAAGATATTTACCACTGAAGGGTGGCGAGAAGAGGGAATGTGCAGAACAGCTTTTGTTCTATAGCCACTTGTTGAGAACAGACAAGCTGCCAAGGGAGATGACAAGCCCCTTCCCTCTCCCTCTTGGCCACCTTCCACTCTCTACAGACCCATCTACCTCATACCTGACAACTCTGCTGCGTGCCCATCTGCATCTCCATACTCAAATTCCAGAGTGGGGCAGTCCACAGAGCCCTGAAATGGAGAAATCTTTGTGGTAACTTGGGGAAAGGGTTGACAAAAGATTATACCCTAATTTCATCCTCGCCCCCTCTTGGAGGCCAAGGTTAGATCAGGGAGGCAGCTAGAAGAGTTCCATCTGTGCCCTTCATCTAAGAGGTAACCTTCTACAAGCCAAAATTTGATGCTCCGTGCTGGGAGGGGCTGAAGATTCCTATGTAGAATCAGAAACTGGGTAATGGGCCAGGATTGTGAACAGATATGGAAGGTATAATCTGTGCCCATATCTGATCTACATAAACACAGACCAGAAGAGCATCTAGCAGCCGTGGGCAAACTACGGCCCGCAGGCCGGATCTGGCCCGTTTGAAATGAATAAAACTTAAAAAAAAAAAAAAAGACCGTACCCTTTTATGTAATGATGTTTACTTTGAATTTATATTAGTTCACACAAACACTCCATCCATGCTTTTGTTCCGGCCCTCCGGTCCAGTTTAAGAATCCATTGTGGCCCTCGAGTCAAAAAGTTTGCCCACCCCTGATAGCTGATCCCCAGAAAAACTAGATGGACAAAAACAAGAGGTGAACTGTGTTCTAACTTCAGTTCTGTCATTAACCCACTATATGATTTGGGCAAATATCATTCTGTGGATCATAATTCCTCATCTGTAAAAATCGGTCCTTCAGCTATAATGTTCCAAACTTTAGGACTGTCAAATAAGGTAGCATTTCTGCTCCACTCTGTATTAAAGACTAGATTTCCGATGATTGTGTGGGTATAAATTGTTTTAATATAATCCCCTAACCCAGTGGTCGGCAAACTCATTAGTCAACAGAGCCAAATATCAACAGTACAATGATTGAGCCTAATTTTTTAAACTTAAACTATATAGGTAGGTACATTGTTATTAACTTAATTAGGGTACTCCTAAGGCTTAGGAAGAGCCACACTCAAGGGGCCAAAAAGCCGCATGTGGCTCGCGAGCCGCAGTTTGCCAACCACGGCCCTAACCTCTTTAAGCACTTTGGGGTATATTCCTACCAGTATGTATTAATCTATCCGAGTTTTTAAAATTCTGAATCTCAGCTCTGTGACATACTGTCACATATTATGTGATCTTAAGCAAATTACTTAACCTCTCAGTGTGGTGTAAGAAAATATATTTAGTCTTTGCCCCAGCTCCCTCCCATTTCTGGCACAGAGCTCCTAAAACCTCTGGAATTTCCTGAGTGATGGGAGTGTCTGATATTTATAAGGGGCCTTGTCAACCACTTGTGTTGAAGCTAATGAGGTGACTCACAGGAACCCAAAGAGTTTCAAAGGAGGGGCTGGCCCTACCTCAAGGGAGGGGAGGAGGCCGGAGACTGAGTTCAATCACAAGGCCGGTGGTTTAATCAACCATGCCTAGGTAATAAAACTTCATATTAAAAACCATGAAACAATGAGGTTTGGGCACACAATGCCCAAATTTTCCTCATTTTGCCACAAACTCTGTCAAGGACTTTGAGAACCAATTAAACCAGGAGATCTGGCTCAAAGAGGCCAGAGGTGAATCCTTCGGTAAGTGAAGAATCTTTTTTTTTTTTAAATATATTTTATTGATTCTCTACAGAGAGGAAGGGAGAGGGATAGAGAGTTAGAAACATCGATGAGAGAGAAACATGGATCAGCTGCCTCCTGCACACCCCCCACTGGGGATGTGTCTGCAACTAAGGTACATGCCCTTGGCCAGAATCAAACCTGGGACCCCTGAGTCCGCAGACCGACGCTCTATCCACTGAGCCAAACCGGTCACGGCAGTGAAGAATCTTTTTATTAAGCAAATGATTATCATCTAACTTTCTTTTTAGGTTGAGAAGTTCATACCTAAAAGCCATCGTGAAAGGGTAGGTCAACAGTGCCCTATAAACAGTGACATGTACATAGGAGACTCTTGACTTATGCCAAATAATCGTCTTTCAGTAATTCTTTAGAGCCCCTAGAGAGGAAAGAAAACCATCTCTCCTGAGGACTATCCTACACGGGAAAGCAAGAGGAGGGAGGGGAGGAAGAGCCCGCGGTCATCTGAGGCTGGCACCAGGGTGTTGTAGTGATACTGACAAGTAGAAGCAGCTCTCCTGCTGCAGTAGAAGGTAGGGGAAAGCTAATCTTTCCAGCCAGCCTTTTGGCAGGCAACGAGCCCAGACAGAGAGGATCATTGCAGTTGTTCATTTCCAAGCATGGCAAGTGCAGCTGCAGGCTATCGGGAGGTAAACTGCAGTGCAGGTGGAAAGCTCTGAGTCTCTGGATACTGAGCTCACTGGCAAAGGTAAAGTACTATCAGAGCCTTTTCCTAAAGCAGTGGTTCTCAACCTTGGCTGCACATTAGAATCACCTAGGAATCTTTTTAAAATCCTTATTTCTGGGCCTCAGCCTCCTGAAATTCTGTTTCTTTGTTACTAATGTTGTGGCCCCACCCCGTAACAAAGACCTAAAGGAAGACTCGATAGGTAGGGACAAGGCTTCCGGCGTCAGGAAGAGTTTCAATTCCCTCAAAGAACATATCATTCTGAAATTATGTTAGTTATTAGCATACTATCTGTCTCTCCACTCCCACTGGAGTATTAGCTCCGAAGAGCAAAGATGTTCTCTTGTTCACGGCTGTATCCCTAGCACCTAAGATAGTGCTGGGCGTATAGAATGACTATTCCTTCCCCCCAAAATACACCACATTGGAGTAAGAACAATGTCTCTATGGGGGAAGGAAGCAAAGGGTGCCCTAAAAGGCCAGGTTGGTACTGAGTGGGGGAGGAGGGGGGAGATGACGTGGTGGATAGAACCCTGCCTGATCTAGCAAGGCAGGAGGGCTGCACTATGCCTCTGAAAGTGGTGCGACTTGGGGGCCAGTCTTTTCACCTCTCTCTTTAAAAAAATGGGATGGTTTCCTCCTCTGTCTGTATCAAAACGGAAAGCATACATGAAACCCCTTTGGAAACGGTGAGAGAGCATTCAAACGGTAAACCCTGGACTTGGATGCTTAAGGCCGGGCACTCAGGTCCAGCTCTGCCCCTCCATGTGGCGACGTGCAGTGCTAAGAGCTGCTCGGAACTGACCCGTGACGTGCACGGTACCTGTGCTGCATTAGACATTTTACACTCAATTATCTCACTTTGGCTTTATTACAACCTCCCCAGGCACACCGCGTTAACCTCATTTTACAGATGAAGAAACTGGAGCTCCTGGAGGTTTGGCAATTTGCCACGAGTCAACACCGGGAATAAATGGCGGGGCTGGGATTCAAAACCTGGCCTGCCTGGCTCCCAAGCTCGGTACTCCTGGCCCCTGGGCCAGATGTATGATCGTGGCCAAGTTACTTCTGTCTCTTTCACGTCTGTAAAGCCAAGGGCTAACCCGGGGGATCGCTACAGGCCCTTCCACACCTGACATCCTGTGGTCTGTTCTCCTGGTCCCGCTCAGACCCAGCTCTGCTCCGGGCTGGTGATGGAGACTGGCTGGAGGAGGGCGGGGTGGGGTGGGGGGGCGAGGGGAGGGAGTGATATGAGTTGGTGTGTGGTAAGAATCTGAGGCCATCTAAGTAAAGCGCCTTATCTCTAGTGCACAGCAGTTGCCTGATAAATGGTAGGTATCGTCAGCATTGTCATCATTCCTGGTCCTTTCTCCCTTTTATAGTTGCCCTGGTAAGAATCAATATTTGGCTCATCCATAAAGCATGATTTCTCTCTCCTCGCTTTCTTTCCCTGCCATCCTGGCCCCCGCGCTCTCCCTACATATTCATTCAGGGAAGAAGAAACGTGGCCCTCTGGTCCACAGATGAAGCACGCTACCCTGGACCAGATGTTCGCCGGAGAAGCCTCTGATTTTTAATTTATTTATTCATTTATTTATTTTTCCAGAAGAGGAAGCAACCCACATGCATACTCCTATGTGCGGGTTTGGCTCCTGGGACAGCCCCATGCGCTCACTCCTGTGCCGGCCCCGCCTGAATCCTGTCTCATTAGCCCTCCAGGTAGCGGTCCCGAGGTCGGTGGAGCCTGCCCCCCACACGGGGGCGTGGGACGGGGGGGGCAG